CTGAAACAAAAGATTCAATTGAAAAAAATTAACAAAAAGTTGGTTCTTTGAAAAAATAAATAAAAGTAACAAACCTTTAGACATGATAACAAACAGAAGGAGAGAGAAAACTCAAATTACTAACATCCATGATGGAAAAGGAAACATCATGACAGACACTACAGAAATAGAAAACATAATTAGAAATTATTTTGAAAATTTATACTCCAATAAAATAGAAAATATCGAAGGTATTGACAAATTTCTAGAGTCTCATGATTTGCCCAAACTGAATCAGGATGATATACTACAAGTTAAATAGATCAATTTCAAGCAATAAAATAGAAGTTGCCATCAGAAGCCTACCAACCAACAAAAGCCCAGGACCAAATGGATACACAGCTGAGTTTTCAAGACCTTCAAAGAAGAACTAATACCAATACTCCTCAAATTATTCCATGAAATAGAAAAAGGAACACTTCCAAACTCATTCTATGAGGCCAAAAATCACCCTGATAACAAAATCAAAGGCACATCAATGAAAGAAAACTTCATACCAATATCTCTAATGAACATAGATACAAAAATTCTCAATAAAATTCTGGCAAATAGAATACAAAAACATATCAAATAGATAGGCGCACCATAATCAAGTGGGGTTCATCGCAGGGATGCAAGGTTGATTCAACATACAAAAATCAATAAATGTAATTCATGACATCATTAGACTTAAAAGTAAGAATCATGATCATCTCAATAAATGCAGGAAAAAAAAAAAAACACTTGACAAAACACAGCATCCCTTCATGTTCAAAATACTAGAAAAACTAGGGATAATAGGAACATATCTCAACATCATAAAGGCTATCTATGCTAATAAGCCTCAGGCCAACATCTTTCCAAAAGGAGAAAAATTCAAAGCATTCCCTCTAAAAACTGGAATAAGACAGGGTTGCCCTCTTTCACCACTTCTATTTAACATAGTTCTTGAAACTCTAGTCAGAGCAATTACACTGGTGAAAGACATTAAAGGGATATGGATAGGAAAAGAAGAACTCAAATTAGCACTATTTGCAAATGTTTATTCTATACCTAGAAGACCTAAAATATTCCACCAGAACACTTTTAGAATTAATAAATGAATGCAGCAAAGTAGGATATAAAATCAACACCCATAAATCAAAGGCATTTCTGTACATCAGTGACAAATCCTTTGAAAGAGAAATTAGGAAAACTACTCCATTTGCAATAGCCGCAAAAAAAAAAAAAAAATGAAATGTGAATCAACAAAAAAGGTGAAAGACCTCTTCAACAAAACCTATAGAATGCTAAAGAAAGAAATTAAAGAAGACTTTAGAAGATGGAAATATCTACCTTGTTCTTGGATAGGCAGTATTAATATTGTCAAAATGATCATACTACTAAAAGCACTATATAGATTTAATGCAATTCCAAAAGCCCATCGACATTCCTCACAGAAATAGAAAAAGCAATCATGAAATTCATCTGGAAAAGTAAGAGATCCAGAATAGCTAAAGCAATCCTTAGCAAGAAGCATGAAGCAGGTGACATCACTATACCAGACATTAAACTATACTACAGAGCAACTGTAACAAAAATGGCATGGTATTAGCACCAAAATCAACTTGTAGACCAATGGTACAGAATAGAGGACACAGAGACAAACCTACACTTATCTTGGGCTAAGGCTGTAGCTCATTGGTAGAGTGCCTGCCTTGCATTTGTGAGGCACTGGGTTCGATCCTCAGCACCACATAAAAATAAAGATATTGTGTCCAACTACAACTAAAAAAAGCTTTAAAAAATACACTTATATTAGACAAGACACCAAAAACATATTGGATAGCCTATTCAAAATATGGTGCTGAGAAAACTGGTAATCCATATGCAACAAAATGAAATTAAGCCCCGATCTCTCACCATCCACAAAACTCAATTCAAAGTGAATCAAGGACCTAGGAATTAAACCAGAGACCATGCGCCTAAGATAAGAAAAAGTAGGCCCAAATCTTCATCATGTCGAATTAGGCCCCGACTTCCTTAATAAGACTCCTATAGTGCAAGAAATAAAATCAAGAATCAATAAATGGGATAGAGTCAAACTAAAAAGCGTCTTCTCAGCAAAAGAAACAATCAGTGAGGTAAATAGAGAGCCTACAGAATGGGAGAAAAATTTTATTACATGAACATCAGATAGAGCACTAATCTCTAGAATATATAAAGAACAAAAAAATCTCAACACCAAAAAAACAAATAATCCAATCAATAAAATAAATAGATAACCCAATCAATACATGGGCCAAGGACCTAAACAGACACTTCTCAGAAGATGACATACAATCAATCAACAAATATATGAAAAAATGTTCAACATCTCTTGTAATTAGAGAAACGCAAATCAAAACTATTCTATGATTTCATTTCACTCCAGTCAGAATGGCAGCTATTAAGAAGACAAACAACAAAGAGTGTAGGCGACGATATGGGTAGAAAGGCACACTCATACGTTGCTGGTGGGACTGCAAATAATCCAACAAATATGGATAGCAGTATGGAGATTCCTTAGAAAACTTGGAATGGAACCACATTTGACCCAGCTATCCCATTCCTCAGTTTATACCCAAAGGACTTAAAAACAGCAAACTAAAATGTAACAGCCACATCAACGTTTATAGCAGCACAATTCACAATAGCTAAATTGTGGAACCAACCTAGATACCCTTCAATAGATGAATGGATAAAGAAACTGTGGTATATATACACAATGGAATATTACTCAGCATTAAAAAATAAAATCACGGCATTTGCAGGTAAATAGATGAAGTTGGAGAATATTATGCTAAGTGAAGTAAGCCAATCCCCCCCCCCAAAAAAAAATGCGAAATGTTTTCTCTGATATGAGGATGCTGATCTATAATAGGGATGTGCAGGGGTAGCATGGGAAAAATAAAGGAACTTTAGATAGGGTAAAGGGGAGGGAGTGAAAGAGAGTGGACAGGAGGTAAGAAAGATGGTGGAATTCAATAGATATCATTACCCCAAGTATATGTATGAAGACACGAATGGTGTAACTCTACAACCAGAGACAAGAAAAATTGTGCTCTATATGTGAACTATGAATTGAAATAAATAAAAGATGAGAAAAAAACTTAAAAATTCTGTGAGTCTGTTTGCCCCTCCAACATTGCAGATGTCTATGTAACTAAGTGAATGAACTAGCAAGTATATAAAGACATTTTTCTTTCAATTAGGATGTGAAAAATTGAGAGACGCAGTAAAATCAAGAATTACCTAATTACCTGAGGGTAATTAAAAATTTTAAAGTAAAAAAGTTTAATGTATAAACATAGAAATAATATAAATCATGTTAAAAATAAATAAAATCAATCTAAAAACATGTGCTTTTCTCTAGATTTTAAATGACCACCTTCAGCTACATTCAAATAAATACACTAAATCACAGTAGGTACGATTATCTGCATTTTGTATATAACAGGGCATAACTACACTACACCATTCATCAGATTTAATGCAAAGTAATCTAAAGTACCCAGGGTTTAATTATATCCAATTTTTAATATGTAAACAGAATCGTTTTTTGGTGGAGGTACCAGGCATTAAACTCAGGGGCACTCAACCACTGAGCCACATCCCCAAACCTATTTTGTATTTTATTTAGAGACAGGGTCTCACTGAATTGCTTAGCACCTCGCTGTTGCTGATGCTGGCTCTGAACTCACAATCCTCCTGTCTCAGCCTCCAGAGTTGCTGGGATTACAAGAATGAGCCACCATGCCTGGCTTATAAACAGAATTTGGATAATATATTCTACAAGCAAGCACTTTCATAATATATGATAAATGTATATTTATAATTGGAAAACAAAAAGTAAAATATTCCATAAACTATCCAAAACTCACACTGGTGTTCCATTTGTACATATGTTCTTATAAATAAACCACATATAAATACAAAAGATTCTACGAGTATTTTTCAAATTCTTAAGTATCACATTTTTCTGGACATTAATTTTAGTAGTGTTAAATTCTACCACAAATACAATTCTTAAAAGTCATTCTTTAAAATAGTATCTTTCTTTGAGAATTTTTTTCTACCTTCATAACCATTTTTCAAAAATCTCTAAAAATTATAAGTTCTATAACCATACAGAATCTAACTTATACACACAAAAAATGTGCTGCTTAATTCAAAGTGATAATACTTAGCTTCAATAATACTTAGCTTTTAATATTCTGTTATCTGATACTTCACAGAGTAAATGTAGAACAAGTCAGAAAGATTGTATTCAATATGAATGGGCATATATGATCTATAAAAATGTCCATTTTTCATGCATTTCAAATTTTTCCCCTCAAGAAAAGAAAGCAAGCTAAATTACCTTCTTTTAAGATTATACAATAGCCAATACCAGATACTCTAAGACTAGGATTAAATGATTATTGCTATAAAAGGGAATAATATATACAATTCAGATTTTTCAATTCTCCTTGATCCAAACTGCTTTAATTCTTTATAAGAGGTCTTTATTCCAGCAATAAAAATTAGAAGTTCTGAATTCTTTTACAAAAGATATTTCAGTTTATCAACAATTTAGGTCGGATCACTCTACAACTGCCCAATGGCATATAACTATGTAAAGTCAAATATGATAACTAATGAACATAATTACCTCAGCTTTTCTAAACCACATAAAATTTCACAAACAAAATACCAAGCAAACCAATTAAGAATATAGATATCAGCGTGGGAATACAGCTCAGTTGGTAAAGTGCTTGCCTCGCATGCACAAGGCTCTGGGTTCAATCCCCAGCACCACAAAAAATACACACACACACACACACACACATATATATTTCAGAATAATAAAAACAAACTACTCAATGATTTGAAGTATGAATCTAAGAAGTACTAACTCTAGCTCATAATTAGAGCATTGTAACTAATGTGGTGATGTGCTTTTATCCTCTGATAGTGCTTACCTTTTCAGAATTTATAAAAACATCAGATTTCAATTCTCCATCTAGAAACTCATTAAAATATTTCATCAATTTCTGAGCTTCCACTGCCCGTTGTCTAGGCGTGTTTACCCCCTCCAACTGGTCTCCAAGGTGACACACTTTGGTTGCTACATAGCTAATGTGCTCATCTAGTTCTTGGAAATGTTGGAAGGCAACCTAGGAAAAATGTGCATAAGCATAAAATACAATCAGAGAACTCACTTTATAAGTTAAGACATATCAAAACTAAACTACCAGCCAATGGCATAATGGTAAGAGTTTTTGCCTGGATAGTGCAATGTCCTGGGTTTGATCCCCACCACGGTAAATAAATAAATTTTTATTTATAAAAATAAAACCAAGAAAAATTAAATTAACAACAAATAATATAAATCATGTATTGATTATATAAATATAATTTACAATTTATGAACTTATTTATAAAAATAAAGCCAACAAAAACTAAATTATCGATCTCACCACTACTCTCTAACTTATGTAACTAAAGATAACATAGAAATTATGAAGTCTACAAAACCAATTCATACTCATTATCATGACATGATTTGAAAACCTTGTTTTTTTAAACCATGTTGCAAACTTTTACCCTTTTACTATTATAATAACCATATTTATTATAAATATACTAGTTAATTAACAAAAGCAAATCCACTTATTCATCCTATTTAACAGAGCACCTGATATCATATAAAGCTATCAAGTAATGATTTTGAAAAAAAAGAACCGAGTACAAAAGGGAACAGATGTTTGAAAAAACCCTCTTGAAAAGATTAAAAAATATGTCAGGGGTAAAAGATATTGGTTAAAAATAAAATATTTAGGGGCTGGGTTTTGAGAATTAAATAAATAAATACATGTAGTATACGCAGAATAGTATCTAATACAGAGAAAGCCCTCAGTAAATGTTTAAAGCTTTTTTCCCTTGAATGTTAGCCTACGAATGAATAGTTCAGCTGGTAGATCACTTTCCTCGCATGCATAAGGCCCTGGGTTCAATCTCCAGCACTACCAAAAATAAATAAATAAATAAATAAATATTTAACACCTAACTTTAAATATTTAAAAAAGTGATACTAATATCTATAGTAAAATTGTCCTTTTCAGTTCTGAAAACATGAAAGACTATAGCAATTACTTTAAGGCAAAGGTAAATTACTTCCCAGAATGTTGATTCCCTTCTCCCCAGGGTACACTGATTGTCCTGTGGCAGATGAAAACTATGTGCAATGAATGTCTTTAAACTGCCAAAAGTAGAATTGTTGATAACTCAATGTGGTACTTTCATTTGTAGGCTAACATTCAAGGGAAAAAAGCTTTAAACATTTACTGAGGACTTTCTCTGTATTAGATACTATTCTAAGTATACTACATGTATTTATGTATTTAATCCTCAAAACCCAGTTTATAAATGGAAAATGGAGGGACACAGAAACTAAACTGCTTTCTTGAGATTACACAGCTAAGTATCAAGGCTGCAACTGAGACTGGTTACAAAATTGTGTGCTTTATTAAAACTATTTCAATTACCAAAGGAAAACTACATTAAGAATATTTGGAAACTGCCACCAAAACTACTTAAAAACACATTTCCTATCTGATTTAAGTTACTGACTTTATTAATTATTTTCTCACAGCCATATATACATAAGTGATAGAATCTAAATAAATGAAATTTTACCAGAAATCAGTTTGCTAATCCCAATGCCCAAACGACCCCTGGGAGGCAGCAAAGTTCAACAATGTTCCTCAAAATGCACTTGGAAAAGAAAATCGAATTCCAAATTAGGCCCAGCTTATAAAGGGATTCAGAGATTTCATATTAATTCAAAGGCCTAAGAGTGATTAAGATGCTTGACTGGGCGCAGTGATGCCTCAGCAGCTCAGGAGGCTGAGGCAGGAGGATTACAAGTTCAAAGCTAGCCTCAGCAACTTAGTGAAGCTCGGAGCAACTTAGGGAGACCCTATCTCCACATAAAAAATTAAAAGGGCTGGGTATGTGGAACAGTGGTTAAGTGCCCCTGGGTTTAATTCCTAGTACTCCCCCAAAAAGATGCAGCTTGGATTCCTTAACCCTAAGGCCAGTCTAGTGCTTTGGTTTTACTCCAAAATGGATAGAGGAAAAGTTTTCCACCTACCCCCTTCTCCCATAATTACTCCAATGAATTCTCACTGAGGCATACACTTCATTATTTTTGTGATACTTCCTAGACCGGGTTTCTACAGGGAAAAACCTGATCCAGGCCTGATATTTGTTTGGTGGTATTACTTTGGTTTGCAATTAAAGAGAACAGAAATGACTACCTAAATATCCATTCTAAGAGTCTCCAAAAGTACAGGTCTACTAAGAAGTAATTGTTGATTACATTATCAAAGGTAGAGTAAGGGAGTACACTAAACTCTATACCACTCCATCTTGAAAAGGGAGTACCGTGATCCCAAACCAACATTCAGTAGCAAGCCAATGTCGAGAGTATATGATAACAATTCATGAATATTTTACCCAGTGGGACCACACAGGTAGAAGGAAACATCAACAGTTGTTATAATTCAATTTGACTTGTTTAAGAGCTTAGAGCTGAAAGGAAATAAAGATTTTGGGGCTATATAAATGATTCATTGTGTAGCTAAATGTTTACCTGATTGCTTTTCTGGAGTTCTTGTACCTTCTTGGCAAACTCCTTTGCTTCCTTCTGACACTGCTGCTCTAATTTCTCTACTTTCCTTTGAATCCTTTCATCCATTATCTGGAGTTCTTGAATATGATTTACAAATTCTTCTAATAATCTAATAGAGAAAATTAGAACATGAATCAATCTACTATTATCAATCAAGAGGAAATGACTGATTCATTTATAATTTTAAGGAAAATTTTAGAGTTTTTTGACAGGAATGATCATGTTAATTTTCTCTTAACATATCTTGGCAGGAATTTCTTCAATCTATAGATGGAGTCTTCCTGCAATGTCATAATTTCTTCTTTGCTTTATCTAGATCACATAACTTTCCAAAAAACAAGACATTTGAAAATATAGTCAGTTTTTATTAACTTTTCAATGAGGTGAATGCAAACCTTACTCAGATCCCCATTAAGCTTTCAGAACAGAAACAAATTTTACAGCTTATTTACAACATCCAAGAAGGTAATTGCACAATACTATTATTCATTCCAGAGTTCAGTTACTTTGTTTCTCCAATTTACTTAAAAGAACATGTTGATCATGTTTTTATTTATAAATAAATATAAAACAATCCTTTCTAATTTATTACTAATTAAAGAGAATATTAAATTTGTATTCTCAATAAAATTCCTTCCCTTATGAGAGTTAAAGTACTTCCCTAAAATAAAAGGAATATAAAAGTTTGAAAAACACAATTTCAATTTCTGATGTATCTTTTGGAGGCCAATTTTTTTGTTGTGGTGGTAGTGGTGGTACTACAGATTGAATCTAGAGACACTCTACCAATGAGTTATATCCCCCTGCTCTTTCTAATCTTTATTTTGAAACAGAATCTCACTAAGTTGCCCAGGCTGGCCTGGAACTTGCATTCCTCTTGACTCAGCCTCGCAAGGAGCTAGGATTACAGACATGCACCACCAGCATAACAAATTCTTTGTCAAAATGTATTATTTTTAGCAAAGAATGGTAGGGGCATCTTTTAACTAATTAATATCTTTTTATATAAGTGCTGAATTCCAACAGTCATCTCTATCTAAATACAAATTTGTAGTACTAGATTGGGGCTATGCAAAAAAGAAAAACACTTTTTTATTTCACCTCTTAGGATCAAAAGCTTCAGGTCCACCTCTAGAACCTCCGCCTGGGGTTCTCCATACAAGACGTTCAATATACTCATCTGCCACGAAAGGCTCCTGGTTTATAAAATAAATATGTTTTAATAAAGTTTCACAGAAAATGACAATATTACTTACACATACTAAAAAAGACTCCACTATGTTAGAACTTAAAATGGAATTGCATTAGTATTTGTCTATATTATAAAAATGCACCAAGTTCTTTTAATTAAAAAAAATCTTCAACAATTAGAATAAATTGCTTAATGAAAATTAAAATATTAAAATATTAGAGCAATATTAACAATCAATTGGAACAACCCAACAGAAGATAATCAAAGGACATAAACAGGCAATTTTATAGGCCAAAAAATGAAATATGCAACTTTACTAATAATCAATAAAGTCAAACATCACTTCTTTTAAACTTCACTTTTAACATTATACAATGCAGGAAAAGGTGAACTGAAATCAGTACTCTCATTATTATTAGAAATGTCAACAGGTATAATCTTTTTGGAGAACTATTAGTATTTGGTAATATTATCAATGCTAAGAATGACAAGCAAGTTTGCTTTTAAAATTCTAAGGGAAAAGCATATATGAAAAAAAATCTTTGGTAAGTTGTTCATTGTACATTATTATATGTAATACTAAAAAACTGTTTACATAAATATTCAACAAAGCCATTATTGGCAAACCTCTTGGAAGAAAAACTATGCTCCTATTAAAATCATGTAAAATAACATTTAATGAAATAAGAAAAAAATCCTAACACAATATCTGATGAAAAAGCAGAATACTCAATATTTTAATAAACATGTATTATTTTTAGCAAAAAATATTAGAACAGAAGGCACAGTCAAAAAATAAACACTCTAATTTTTATTATTAGCAGACAACAATTTTTAGACTATTCCACATTAACTTATACACTTTCACATTACCTTTTTCATGAAAATATCATATATATTGCTTCCCCTTTAGCATATAACTTAAACTTGTAGCAGTAGATAGTATCTGTAAAATTTTTCATTTTTAAAATATTTTTTGGGTTATACATGGACACAATAGCTTTATTTTTATTTATTTCTTTTTATATAGTGCTGAGGATCAAACCTAGTGCCTCACACATGCTATGCAAGTACTCTACTACTGTCACAACTCTAACCCCTGAATATTTCATTTTTCAATTGTACTTTAAATTTCATTGTTTTAAATAAAATGTTTTAAATAAAAACATTTTCACTGATAAGCATTCATTAAACAAAAAAATTTCCTATGCCAAGCATTCTGTCAGGCTTTAGAATAAAAAGATATATAAAACACAGAATGTACCCTGAGGAAACTAACTCATGGCCTAATTGGAGAAAGGAATATAAAGAATGAAATAATGAATGATAAATAAAATGTTTATAAACTTTAGTATTAATAACCCCTAAGTGAATTATTAGCTCAATAGGGAGATTGGGGGGTAGAAGCAAGTTGTTCATTAATTTCACAAACATTTACTAAACACAAGATGCTGGGCACTGAGAATACAGATATGAATTCAATAGCCAGGATACCCTACAAAGCCCTATGGAAATGATCTAAGTAGGAATGCCAACTAAACAAGCAATCACAGAAGTAACACAGAAGAAACTAGGATAAAAATCATGGCTAGAAAAGTGCTGGATGCTGTAACAGAATATAAAAGAGGAACAGAGGTATTGAGACTATGGGGAAGGACCAAAGAAGATTGGCCAGAAAAGGTGTTACGACAGGCAAACTCTGAGGAAGCCATGTTTAAACTGAGACATGAAGTAAAAAGAAAAATCAGCCAGACAAACTTGGAACAAATAGTTTTCTAGAGCATTGAGAAAAAGGAAAAAGTAAGACAGTTCAACTCATTAGAGGAACTAAGAAGTAAACACAGACTAGATCACTGGTAAAATCTTGAGGGGGGATGACAATTAAGATGAATAGATTACAATCATGTTCTTACCATCATCACACTGGAACTTGAGAGAATGGTTCACCAGTTTGATGTGATAAGAAGGAATAAGAGGATGAACTTCAGTTAGAATAAGAATAACCATCAGAATAAGATAGGAATGATACAAGAATAACCATTCACATCCATTGTCTTTTCGCTCCACTATGATGGTATTGGAGGTGTAACCCAGCATTATCTCATTTACTATTTTCAATAGGACCTGTAAGAAATGTCTTATTTTATCCCCACTTTATGATGAGGAAACTTAGGTTTTGAGAGGTTAAATACTTTTTTTTTTAAATATTTATTTATTTTTTTTAGTTATCGGCAGACACAACATCTTTGTTGGTATGTGGTGCTGAGGATCGAACCCGGGCCGCACGCATGCCAGACGAGCGCTCTACCGCTTGAGCCACATCCCCAGCCCAGAGGCTAAATACTTGACCAAGAAAACCCACACTGTATGTTGCAAACATATGGTGAGATTTAAAAATCACTGTGCTCTAGTATTATTGGGTAAACTAAATGGCAAATTTGGTAAACTATAATTAGCTAATTGCACCTAGAAAGCTAGGTCAGTGAGAATAAGTGGTGAAGCTAAAATGATGGAAACTGCCATATGAAGGCATATACACATTACTGATTTTGCCTTTAACATTTTCTACTTACAATAATCAATATTAAAAAAATAAAATAAAAAAATAATCAATATTAATCATATGTGAAATCCATAATGCAAACCAGTAATTTTTCAGACATCTGATAAAGTGTTACATTCTGTTAGAAAACCATCTTACCTTTATGACTATTCATATCATCAATCAGTAGAAAAATAGGCAACAACCCCCCCCAAAAAAACAGAAATCAATATAAGATACTAAAATTTTTAAGAAAAGGTTTTTAAAATTTACTATAAAAGCCTTTTTAAAGAGTTGTCAAATAATTGAAAATGAATAGTCATATTAATCCAGTTATCTCAAAAGAATTTCATTATAGGAAAACTATCTGTTACGATTTAGATGTGAAGTGTTCCCCAAAAGCTCACATGTGAGACAATGCAAGAAGCTTTGGAGGAGAAATGATTGGGAAACATCCTGAACCTAATCAGTTAATCAATTCCTGATGGGATTAACTGAGTTGTGGCTGGAGGGAGTGGCGCTGGGGAAAGTGATCCATTAGGGGTGTAGCTATGGGGTAAATATTTTGGATCTGGAGAGTAAAATCTCTCTCGGCTTCCAGATCACCATGTGAGCTGCTTCCCTCAAACCACACTCTTCCATCATGAGATTCAGCCTCACCTGGAGCCCCTGGGGAATGCAGCTGGACTTCTATGAACTAAGACCTCTGAAACAGTGAGCTTTTATATAAACTTTTCCTCCTCCAATATTGTTCTTGTTGGTTGTTGTAGTCACGGCAGTGAAAAAGCTGACCAAAACACTATCTGATATAATCAAGACATAACCTATAAACAAAATTACTAGCTACTTTAAAAATAAAAATTCAGTTTATCTGTAAGTACTGACATGCTTAAAAATGATAAGAATCTTATTAATTAAAAATTAATAAGATTAATTAATAAGAATGAATTAGATATCCATCCAAAATAAACTTTTTGATATCCTAAATTAAAATGACCTTATTTAGGAAACATATAATCATTTAGATAATCACACTTCTTGCTTACCTTACTTCTCCTGAAGTCAAAAATTTGATATGTGTCTAACAATCTTTATTTTGCATATATAAATTGAGAAGTATTAACTCAGGATAAAGGAATTTATGTTTAAAGCTACTCAGAACTTTAGAAAGTAAGCTAATCAAAAAATTTCAGAAAAACCTGTCTGGGCACACACCTGTAATGTCAGCAACTCTGGAGGCTGAGGCAGGAGGATTACAAGTTTGAGGCCTGCCATAGCTAATTTGAGATTCTGTCTCAAATTTAAAAATAAAAAGAACTGGGGATATAGCTCAGTGGTAGAGTACTCCGAAGATAAATCCCCAGTACACACACACAAAAAATAATTTTAGAAAACCTTAACAGCACATAAAACACAGTGATGATAAAATGATAATGATAGCTCAAATTTTTAAGTGCTTACTATGTGCTGGGCATGTGCTTAGTACTTACACACTATATAGCATTCAATACCATGATAAGTAGTAAATCCTACTAATACTGATTATTTTATAACTGTGATACAAAAAAGTAATTTAATACAAAACCACTGTGACTTACCAGATTCCAAGGCCCAAATCTTAACTATAGGCAAAATGAAGAGCTTTTTCTTTAAAAGAAGCTAAACTACTTTAGGAAGTAGTCAGTGCTTCCAACAGTCCACAATACTCCCATTAAAAAACTTCGTATAATAATCATGCTCTTGGGGCTGGGGATGTGGCTCAAGCAGTATCGCGCTCGCCTGGCATGCGCGGGGCACTGGGTTCGATCCTCAGCACCACAGAAAAATAAAGATGTTGTTCCACCGAAAAATAAAAAATAAATATTAAAAAATGTTCTCTCTCTCAAAAAAAAAAAATCATGCTCTTTTGCCCTCTTTTCCTGGTTATAATTTTTTGTATCAATACTTAATAATTTTACCCAGGGGCACTTTACCACCGAGCTATATCCCCAAACCTTTTTATGTGTTATTTCTTTTTTAATCTTGTTTTTAGTTGTACATGGACACAATACCTTTACTTTACGTATGTATGTATGTATTTATTTTTATGCAGTGCTGAGGATAGAAACCTCCTACGTGCTAGGCAAGCACTCCACCCTGAGCTACCACTGTAGCCCTTATATTTTATTTTGAAACAGGATCTCGCTAAATTAAGTTCTCATTAAGTTGCTGAGGCTGGCTTCAAACTTGCAATCCTCCTATCTCAGCTTCCCAAGTTGCTGGTATTATAGGCATGTGCCATTGAGTCTAGCTAATCTAAGTTCTTATGTATTATTAATTTTATATTATTGAGTAGTTACAGTTCAATTAAACAAATTTATACTGTTCATCAATTTTGTGTCAGTTTTATAAATGATATACACCCCAAAACTTATAAATCAACAAATGTTACTGACCGCAAAAAATAACATTTTTATCATAAA